TGGTTTTACATGATTAACTGATAAAATTTAGAATTAATTAAAATCTATGTAGAGGTTAATTAATACATTTTGAGATTACCCATGTGGTTTTATTTTTTAAACAATCTTTCCATAGAAGTGGAAAAGATATACCCTAAAATTCGTAAAATTAGAATCATTACTGTATTACTATTGAATGCATTATTTTATTCAATTATGTAAAATTTAAAACTAGAATATATGTTTTGATTTGCTTATATAGTTACCTACAAATATGGTACCAAGATAGAAATCACTTACATTCCAGTCATTCCATGATTAAAACAAATGTAAAAATACCTATCAAAATTGTTTTCAATTATTCAGAATGAAAATTTTGCAATTGAAGACCATTATAAAGAAGATATTATATTTGTTATTTAAACTCATTTTTTTTTTAATGTTTTACATATTATATATTGATTTATTTCAAATTTTTTATATTAATTTAATAAAAATAAATTGTTTTTATGTTTAATAGATGTACCGTATCTCTGCTGCTCTTGCTAGAAACAATGTGCCCAAATACTTCGCCAGAAACTATGCCAAAGATATTAAGTTTGGCCCTGAAGTGCGAAAACTTATGCTTGAAGGAGTTGATATCCTTGCTGATGCTGTTGCTGTAACTATGGGCCCAAAAGTGAGAAAACGGCAACATTTATCTAAGTCTTACTTATTATAATACATTGTAGTAGTAACAAATATTTTATCATTATGTTATTTGTATTAAAGGTACATATATTTTATCAATTTAATGAATATGATATTTTTATTTTATTTATTAGGGCCGTAATGTTATCTTAGAACAGAGTTGGGGCTCTCCTAAAATTACCAAAGATGGTGTAACTGTCGCCAAAGGTATTGAATTACAGGATAAATTTCAAAACATTGGTGCTAAACTTGTTCAAGATGTAGCAAATAATACCAATGATGAAGCTGGTGATGGCACAACAACAGCTACTGTATTAGCACGTGCTATAGCTAAAGAAGGATTTGAAAAAATTATTAAGGGCGCTAATCCTGTTGAAATTAGACGAGGTACTTGGGAATACAATTCTAATAAAAATAATATATTTAAGACATTTTAATAATCTTTTCTTTTTATTATCAGGAGTAATGTTAGCTGTTGATACAGTTAAGACACATTTAAGTACATTATCGAAGAAAGTTCAGTCTGCTGATGAGATTGCACAAGTTGCCACAATTTCTGCTAATGGTGATACTAGTATTGGAAAACTTATCTCTTCTGCTATGGAAAAAGTAATACTTGTGGAATTACAACTATAGAACGAGATATCGTCTAATTTTATTTTTTTTAATTTGTACTGATTTTATTGATAATATAGGTAGGAAAAGATGGTGTAATAACAGTCAAAGATGGAAAAACCTTAGAAGATGAATTGGAAGTTATTGAAGGTTTAAAATTTGATAGAGGATACATTTCCCCATACTTCATTAACTCTGCTAAAGGTAATTACAATTAATACTATTTTCAAAAACTATTCTTAATAATCTTTAAAATTCTTTAATACTTAAATAATTCTTTAAAGGCGCCAAAGTAGAATTCCAAGATGCATTAGTATTATTCAGTGAGAAAAAAATTTCATCTGCTCAATCATTAATTCCTGCTTTAGAATTAGCCAATGCACAACGTAAACCACTTGTTATTGTTGCTGAAGACCTTGATGGTGAAGTTATTGGAATGCTAGTTTTAAATAGGTACTATTTAAAAATACAATTATAAGAAATATGATATGATTTTAAGTATTTATTATTATTTATGATGTTAAAAATATAAGATTTAATGTAAAAATAATTTAATATTTTTTATTTAGATTGAAAATAGGTTTAAATGTTGCTGCTGTCAAAGCACCTGGTTTTGGAGATAATCGTAAATCTACCTTAACTGATATGGCAATTGCAACTGGAGGCGTTGTTTTCGGACAAGAAGGCAATGAACTGAAAATTGAAGATATTAAAGCTAGTGATTTTGGTGAAGTCAAAGAAGTGGTTATCACTAAAGACGACACTTTACTTCTAAAAGTAAATTTACTATTAACTCTTTATTTATTATTATATTTATACTTAAAATAATTATTAGGGTAATGGCATACCAAGTGATGTGGAACAAAGGGCTGAACAAATTAGGGATCAAATTAAGGATACTTCATCAGAATATGAAAAAGAAAAACTGCAAGAACGTCTTGCTAGGTTAGCATCTGGTGTTGCTGTATTGAAAATTGGTGGAAGTAGTGAAGTTGAAGTTAATGAGAAAAAAGACCGTGTTACTGATGCATTAAATGCCACTCGTGCAGCTGTTGAAGAAGGTATTGTTCCTGGAGGTGGAACTGCTTTAATTCGTTGCTCACCTGCATTGGATACCATTAAAGTAGCTAATCAAGATCAAAAAATCGGTAAATATTGAATAGTTATAACTTATAAGTATGATGAAGCTGCTTGTGAAGATTATTTTAATAAACAAATTGTTGTGTGATCGGTATTGAGATTGTACGTAAAGCATTAACCATGCCTTGTATGACAATTGCCCGAAATGCTGGTGTTGATGGTAGTGTTGTAGTTGCCAAAGTATTGGAAGGTAAAGATGGTTTCGGATATGATGCATTGAATGATGAATATGTCAACATGATTGAAAAAGGAATCATCGATCCAACCAAAGTGAGTTAAATTAATTAATAAGGTTTATAGTAAATCAAATATATTATGGCATTCTTCAACCAATATAACATTCATTCCTTTACATCATTAGAGTTAATCTAGATTTATTTCAAAGATCTCCTGTGTCTTAGTTATTTAATTTTGATGGAATATTACAATACTTAGAAATTAAGGGTTTAAATCATCCCATGTAGAGGTATATTTTTTCGTTGAATTCTCGATACATTTATTAGATTTTCCCCCCATCCATATCACTTAATTATATTCTTAATCTTATTGCAGCCCATTGATGAATTTTATTTAAATTGACTTAATATTAATTTACATGATATTGATTTAAAAAAAACAATACACAGTGGATTGGATATATTTAAGTTAAATTACAGACCTTATATTCTGTATATAGTTTCTTTAGTAATTGTCTATTTTTAGGATTTTAAGTTTATGTTAGCATATTAGAAACTCAAAAAAAATTTATCCCTGAATCTAATATTTTTGTGAATTTTCATTTTATAAAATATTTATCATTAACATGTTTGTTTTAGGTTGTCAGGACAGCATTAACAGATGCTGCAGGTGTTGCATCATTGTTGACTACAGCGGAAGCAGTTATCACTGAATTACCAAAGAAAGATGAGCCATTACCAGGTGGCGGTATGGGAGGAATGGGTGGTATGGGCGGTATGGGAGGTATGGGAGGAATGGGTGGCATGATGTAATAATTTGTTTTAGAAATCACAAAGACTGACATCGCGCAAGTGGCATAAATATTTTTCTATCCTAGTTATGTGTTGTTCTCGATGTTTTATTTTATAAGAATCAAATTTATTAATTATTAGTAACATTATTAGTTTTTTTTATACATATTTTTTAAATGCATGTGTTTCTATATGTACAAATGGATTGTAATTTTCATTAGACTCATGTTAAGAGATATTTTGTCTATTGCATAGATGTTAAAAATGGAAACTGTACAAAGTGTTTTAGGTCATATAAAACTCATTCCAAAAATCATTGAATATTTTTGTTTCTTTATTTCAATAGTAATAAAAAGTGATGTTGCAATTACGGATTTTTTGTCTGACCTTTGTCCTATGAAATGCATTACCATTAATATACAATTGCTAATTGTTGCCCTGTGTTAAATTTAAAATTCATATAAGGAAGAATAATTGATTTAATAATCACAACATCATGTTTTATGAATATTATATAAATGTTAATGCCTATTTCTCTTGTAACTGTTGATATATATATATATATAGAATCCAAAACCAATAATTACTCTTCTAAAAATGCTAAGAAGCTGTTATTTCTTCTGGTTGGAACAAGTTGAAAAACTATTGGTTTGCAAAAAGTAAAAATAATATTTCTCAAAGTATATTATTAAGATTTTGAGTTGGTTATATTCATTCAAATAGTTAACTCATATTATCATGTTGTATTTCATTTATGTTTTGGGTATTGATATACAAGTAACAATCAATCAAATTTTAAATTTTGTTCAACTTATACCAGGTAGATATGAATTGATCGTGGTTTGTAATTATTAAGGCTATTAAGAGGATTTTAATCAGCACACATGGTAGTTGTTTGACCAACTCAATAGAAGAACAAGTTGGTGTTTAATAGTACTAATTTCATGAATTGAATCACAAGCTTTATTTATGTTAGATTATTCAAATTTAGCAATTAGTATTGGAAAATTAGAAAATATGATGGTTTAAAACCTGAATGATAGAAATTTTTGCTTTCAAAAAGTGATACTTTTAGACTACTCTTTGTACATTATTCAGATTAAGTGCACCTAACAGTGGATATAAGCCATGTTATGGCTTGTCCTATCACTAATGATTTTATGCATTAATCGCAGAAAATTTTTTAAAAACTGCATTACATTGTCTGAAAGTAATGCATTTAATTAAAATCCTGTAAAGGATGACAAAACACATTTAAAATTCAATATGTTATTTTATATTTAACATTTAATAAGATCGGTTAAACAATTTTAAAATCTGATAAAAATCATTAATTCATTGTTTATACTGTTTTTTGCAATCTCTTAGGCTTTTTATTTTTCTTTGTTTTGTTCTTTTTCTGAAAAAAAAATTGAAATTTTATAAATAATTTTGTTTAAATAATCATCTATTGTTATTAATCATAAATATAGTGAATTGTTTGATACTAGTAATTAATAAAATGTTACAATACTCGCAATATTTCTACTAACACGGTAATAAAAATATTAAAAAATGATTATAAATGAAATTTTGGTTTTTGTATCATGTACGCATTGGCCTATATTTCTGTTAACAACAATTTTAATTAATACATTTCATATTTACCTTTTGCAATCGTTTAGCTATTAACATGACATCTTTTGATTGATTGTGAAATTTAGTAAAATCTGTGTTTTCATATTTATGAGGTTTAAAATTGGTATTTTGTCTTGAATTATTTGTAAGATTTTGGGAAGCTGAACTCGTGCTAGAACTTTGGTTATCAGTTTTTATCTCCTTCATAATTGTACTCTGAATGTTTTTATTTACACTTGTAAGGTCAGTAATTTCTTTTTTAATTTCTTGAACCTAAAAATAAGAAATTATCAAATTAATCATTCACTATATGATAGTGATAAATTAAAAATTTATAATACGCATAATAAGACAACAAAATCACAAAAATGTATCGAGCATAGCAGATTTGAAATATAAAACATCTCAGATACAAATTATAAAGTACAAACAATTTATTTAAATTGTGTTCAAATATTTTTAGAAACACCAATAGAAATATAACTATCCATGATTTTATGAATTAAATATTAATATTTAAGTATGAATATTAAAATCATTCAAAAGTAAATCTCACTTGAGGTGTCAAATGAAGTTTGTCCGGACACTCCATTGGGATGGTAGTATTTAACGGTTTATTGTTATCATCACTGATTTTATCTTTTACCTCTAATGATTTCTTAAAATTATTATATTTTATTGTTTTTAAATACAGCTCATATGGCTGTTTATAAACAATATTTGTTAAACCAATATGCTTTCTTGATTTTTTGTTCACTTCCTAAATTAACAATAATAATGTTTATAGCATTCATATAACAACTGACAGAAGAAAATTAAAATCTATAATTAAAGTACTTGGAATATAGAAATTTGTGGTGGTGTAAAATATACAATTTCAATATCATCTTCAACTAATTTATTTATATCATTTAATAATGTGGGTAATACTTCTTCTACATTTTCTTTTGATTTAGAATAATCGTGTAAGCTTATCATGTCTACATCAATATGTTTGACCACATCTTGTGTAAAGCTTTTATCTTCGTTTAACTTCTCGGCCTGCTAAAATAAATATACAAAACTAAACACACGAGCATATAAATTGTTTTTATTACAAACCAAAAATATTACTAACATTTTCAAAAGTCTGTTCCCTTGCTTTTTTAATGATGTAATGGATTTCATGCAGACATTGTCGGACCAATGGGGGTATTGGGGAACAACAAGCCAGTATGCCATATGATTCTTTGGGCAACATTTCTGATATTTTAAGCAACATATGATTTGGTAGAATGTATCTGTAATAATAATAATAATAAGAAAGTTTAAATAATTATAAATGTTTTTTAATCTTACCCTGGGCTTTCATCCAATTCTCTCGCTAATTTATCTCTCCAAGCGTATATATGTTTGAGTGCATACATTTGCTGAATATCAAACATTTTTTTACTCCGCTTATACATGCTCAAGTGACTGTCATCGCTTAAAATATTTACTTCATACCTCTAAAATTAAATTAAATTATTTATACCAGTTACAAAATATAAATCATTAAATTTTTACCGTTTTGCACACATCAGCACTTCGCTGGAATACTAATTCGATATAGTTACACTGGTTAGTAGACATTGCCATTAAATCTTTTTTGATCATATCATACACATAGAGTAAATAATGAGTATCACAACGGGCGTAATATATAGCTTCAGGTGATAATGGCCTAAATCATAATACAGAAACATAGTTACATTTTTGAATGGCAGAACAGCATTTGAGAAGAATACCTTTAAATAATTTATTTTTATCGGTTTTAGATGATCGTTACCTTGTTCTCCAATCATACAGTTGAAATGCTTTGTCAGCATCTACATTACAATAATGTTTAAGTAAGAAATCTAACCCTTTTCTAGAAAAGTTCAATATTTTGGCAGCTTGATACGTATCAAACATATTGACAATATATAAACCCAGATCTCTTTGCAGCCATGGAATATCACTATCTGCTCCATGAAATACCTGAGTATAAACATAAATAAATAATAAATTTAATTATTTTAATTTTAATTAAAATCTATTACCTTGACTACAGCAGGATTAGTGAATATTTCATTGAGTACGTGCAATTTTTCACGAAGATGTAGTGTATCTATAATATAATCTGCATTTCTAGTAGATATTTGCATTAAACAAGTAAACCCTTGATAAGTTCGATAACTATGTGCCTTTAAACAAAAAATAAAAAAATAATTTGATTTATTGTATATTGATTCAATAAAAAGTTTGAAGCCTACCTCTAAATCAATAGCTAATTCATTGACGTTTTCTAAATCTGAAATCATTAAATTCAATTGTTCTTCTGTATATACTTCAACAAATTTTGTATCTTCTAGTGTTGCAGGATAAACAGCTTTTGAGACATTTAAATGTTCAACTGGAACCTTAAATTCATCCAATTCTAATTGATAGGGATGTTTATAACTAAAAAAAAAAAAATAATTTTAAAATATTTATTTTGTAAATATTTCAATGAAATATAACTACTTACAACATGATTCCATCATCATTTGTTTCCAAACATAAATCCAATGGTACTTTACTGTTTGGCTTACTAGTAAGAAGGGGTTTAAACGGAACTGGTCTATTATCAACTTTGATCTTAAATTTTATTTGTGGTCTTTCAATATTACGTCCATGTACTAATATTCTTTTTTTGTTTGCTGCTTGTGTATTGTCAGTAGATTCAGATATAAAAGCTTTAGGGACGACAGATACATCCACATTTTTGAAAGACCCATTTAATGTATCAATATTGTGAGTCTACGGAAAAAAAAAATTATTACTGTCTATTCATAAAATAAATATTAACACATTAGGTACCACTCTGTCTAAGATTGTGTCATTTCCTTCTTCAATAAGTTCAAACTGATGATCATCATCTTTATCTCGAATATTACCAGCGATTTTTTGATTTTTCAATAATGCAGATATTCTATACATCAAAAAAACAAATTAGTTTGTATTAACTGACATAATATGTAATATATGTACATACAACTTGAGAACATGATTTTGACGTAATGAAACAGCTTTTTTAAATTTAGGGTAGCTGTTATAAAAATTCCAGTTCACGCCATTTGGCAATTTATTAGAGGCTCGAGTTCCTTCAATAACTGTTTTTAAATCATTCTGCAAAAGTAATGTAAATGTATCAATAATTTATGTTTCTGCTATCATATTACATAAGTATATATTACGAACAATAGATTTTTACATATTAGTTTTAAGTATATTTAATGGGTATTGTCATTATTACACAAACAATGAATTAAATTTAAATATATTGATTTAGTTTTCTTAAAATTAAAATATACATTTTTGACCAATATGTTTAGTTTATATAATAGTTAAATATAAGATGACTAAAAACTTTAATTTTTAACAAAATGAATGATCCATAATGTTTTCATTAAACAAAATACAGTTAAAAATAATTTAGTGATATGAATTGATTGATTAAAAAAAATATGTAATAATTTTTTGTAAGTTTAGACTATCTGTATTATAAATTAACAATTTTTTATTATGTTTGTGCAAGTACATAAGTAAATACTTATCAAATTTACTAAATATTACAATAAATGTCAACTATTATATTATTATCTAATTATTTAATAGAATCAATTTGTATGAATAAAACACACATTTTATAACATGTAACCGGCACGTATAGCTATGATCTCGAAAGTGATCAATTATCTTATCAATGTATTTTAAAAGTGGATTGTAGTTTGTAACAATCAACAATAATTCCTAGAGATTTCACTACAGTTTTTGCAAATGTCAAATTTACAGAAAAGAATCAATAAATAAATTTCAATTCAACAAACCTTGATTAGCATATCATTATCCATTTTAATACTTCAGACTCCGATTCCTATTTACAATTCGCGTACTCGCACTTTTTTAATTTTAAAGTCACAGTGCAGTGTGCACTGTGTATTAATTTATAATTAATAATAAAAAAGTTTGCGTATGCTTTTTTTCAAACTATTTTGAAAATACTGAAAAGTGAGAAGTAAATACGAAAACGAATCGTGATTAATGCGACAATGCGACATGCAGGTGTATAATGTATAGTGTGCTGCTATCGACCGCCGCGGCGGCTGCGCTAGTTTGATGATACTCATAGTGATAACAGTAACCCATTACAGGTTGGCAAATTGTTTGTGTTTCAGTGTAGGAAGAGTGAACGATCATATAATATAATTATTAGTTGTCTACAATTCCACTGCAACGAAAATACAGATTAATAATATGATATATGAAATATATTCAAATATACAATATTTATACAGAAATACAGAATGAACTTTAAACTTAAACAGGACGCCACGCTCGCAAGTGTTGTCTCAGTCGGACAAATGTACAACATGGCAAATTTGCGTTCAGTAGAACCAATTTTCTGTTGTTATATAGTGACTAGACTAGAGCAGTAGAGCGCGGATTTCTATGCAATTGCATATTTTTTTTTTCCTTTTACTTTTTTGGATTTTTTTCAGTTATCTTAACGAATCATAACAATTTGAATTGAATGGTGAATTTTTTTTTTGCATATTTCTACATATTTAATGGTTATTGCATATTTTTGTATATCTCTACAAAATTCGAAATATATTGCATATTAAAGGAAAAATTTTAAAAAAAATTGTGTAAAATAACATTTTGTCAAGTAAAAATATTAAAAATAATTATGTTGGCATTAAATTATAACCATAGCGCGGATTTATATGCAATCGCTTATTATTTTCTTTTTCATATTTTTAGATTTTTTTCAGTTATCTTCACGAATCATAAGAATTTGAATTTAATGGTGACATTTTAATTGTACATTTCTGTATAATTGTACAAAATTTAAAATATATTTTATACTAAAACGAAAATTTTTATATACTTAGTTATTTTAAGTAATAAATTATTGTATGTTGTTCAATTTGTAAATTTTATATAAATGAAAAAAATTTTCTTACATATTTTTATGATTTTTACTGCATATTATATGGCATATTTCGATACTTTTTAGTGCATAAAAATCCGTGCTCTATTAGTGACATAGTGTTAATATTAGAGTTATCTCAAACTATTTATTTTTTAATTGGTTTTACTTTCTACTTAAGAAGACATCAGCGCATTGTTTTCCCTCTGGCCAACGCGTAACATAGACAAAAGTCAAAACGCATTTGTGCAGAATCATTTTTTTGACGTTTTTGAGTAATTTTAAGAGTAAAATCACCCATAATGAAAATTATAGAAAATAATAGTTTTGTGGGTAACTTTATCGATTTATCTAAATATTATCTCAAAACAACTTTAAATATTATTTAATTTTATAATTTTTATTTTTATCTTTAAAATGTAATATTAAGTTAAATAATAATAAAATATAAAACCGATACGTTAAATCCTCAAAAATATTATCCTCTATAATTTTTATAGGATGTGTTTTTACTCTTTGATTACTCAAATCATAAAAAAACGATTGTAGTTGAAAGCGTTTTAACACTTTTAACTATGTTGTGCGTGGGTTTGAGAGAGAAAACAAATATTGTGCTAAAATCTATTTAATGCATTTTTACTATACATGTACGTTTGTAAAATGAACATGCGGAGACAACATTTCAGTAGCTTTATTACAATTTTATTTTTTAATACATTTTTTCTATGCAAATCATTAATATTTTCTGGAATTTATTAATTTTTCAGGCCAACCTATTGGACTTTAAATAATATACAAATGATTACATTAGGTAGTTCAAAAAACGCTATAACGAATTACAATATATAGGAAAAACGGATATGGTATCCTTTTAATTATTGGTATACAGTACACACTACACTGGAACAGTGATTCATGACAACTTTATCGTGCTGTGACCATTGATTATTTGATCGATAAATTCATAAACTGGATTATATTTAGTAAATATATATTATATCTTATGACTTACGTGATTAAAAACTAATACATAATACAATGATTAATAAAATTAATCTATTTTGTGGTTGTACTCCGTACCGTGTAGGTAAAAATAATTTATAACACGCTCTCATCATCGTTGGACTTTAAGTATTATTGAACTTCTAAATTTTATACTTTGGTGAACTATTTCTATATACATCGGTCAAATTACGCGTTTCAATGTTCTATTATTAATCTTACTTCCTAGCTGTGTGTCGTGTGTGTGTGTGTTAATACGAAACGATTACACAATGTAATACGTATTCCCCATGGCCTGGCCCATGCACACGTTGACCTATATAAATTGATTCGATTAAAACCGGGTTCACCCAGCCGCCGACACGTTATTATAGTTTTTGTTATTGTAAAAATTGTTTATTATTATTGGTAATATAATATAATGATAATAATAATATTAATAATAAACATGTTGTTTATGCGTCTCGTTCATTTCCGGGATTTTAATCGACTCGAGGCTCAACTGCTCAAGTAGTCTGTGTAATAAATTAATTGTCATTCGTCATTCGCCAATCGTCATAAATGACGTGATTCGTCCGTCTTGAGTGCCTCCGCAAATTAATAATTTGTTCATTATTTATTGATTTATGGACTAACACGACCATAGGTATTTTTGCTAGCCAACTTACATCACAGCTACTGACGTATAATCGAACACATTTACACTGTTGTGTTCCTACCTACCTACCTAATACAGTAGATTATCGTTTAAGACATTATATTATTATTGTTAATTATTATTATTATTATGTCACGTAATCCGGTAATCGTTACGCATTAACACCTCCTAGGTACCCTCCCCTAAAGCTTGCCACATCTTTTCAGCGGTTGTCACTTGTCGTTACTCATCAATCGTCATTCGCCAGTGCGCGCGCTTTTATATTTGGTGGTGGCGAAAACGAGGAACCAACTGATAACGCATAAATGCATAATCGTCATTTTATTATCGTTTTATTCATTTAATCGCACTGTGTCGCCCGAACCGGCTGCGTAATATTTCTTCGTATCGCCGACAGTGTTCGCAGTTTCGTACTGTTCGACTGGTGGTATTTCGTGTCTACACTCAAGTACACGTACTCACCACTGTCGCCCGTCCTCTCTTTAGCACCAGCCACCAGCTGACCGTGGCGTAGTCGTCGCCTACTGACCCATCACCGCAGTCGTTTTTTTTATCACTTGTTTATGATTCGCAGTCATTATTGCAAAAGCTTTCGATTGTTTTGAATATATTTTCACTATCTGTCCGTCGTTCCATTTATTCAACCACACACACCACCAATAATGTCGGTTTCGGCCATGAACAGGATTGGACTGAGGGCCAAGATATGGAATTCACTGGTCGGACGGGTTGGTCCCAAGACGTATTTCACGTACACGCCTCAAGTGTCACAGGTATTGGACCGAGAGCCGAAATGGGTGTCCGCCGACGAAGCCGTCCAGTGTATCAAGTCCGGTAATTGAGTATTTTCTGTTCTCGCCAATTCCCTGCCGTCTAGTCAACTCAAAGAGTCCCAACGCCAGTGTCACAAATAGTCAATATTTTCAGGAGAGGAGGTTTTGGTCCTCTGATTTTTTTTATTAAGTTTTGGTATTAGGTAATGATCTTTATGATCATGTATTGGAGTAAATTAGGAGAAATGTGCTATGTATCTATGTACAATCATACAATACCTATACCATTATGATATTATTTGAGCTTTGCTTGCTAATATTTAGTCAGAAAGGGAGGGGTTAAACACCCCCAATTTGTGACACTGCACGGTACACAGACTTGTTTGAAATTCAATTTTGGTTAAGGGTGCATCTATAAATAATTAATTAAACCGTTTTCAGGTTAAGATAATATATTTAGTTATGTAATTTTAAAGTTATAACTTATAAGTTTTTAAGTATCTCAACACAAACTCTTTTGGCAATGGATAATATTATTAAATGTTTGTAAAAGTTATTTAGTTCATGTCATTTACCAGCCATGCTCACTAAATTATTAATTCTTTGCCCTTTTGAACTTTTACATAATAATAAATACTGTCGGTAGTTATGCAAGTGCTTAACCTTACAAAAAAGTTCATATTTATTACTTATGCTAATTTAAGTGTTTGGTTATGAGACTATATAAGTAATATTTTTTCCTCATGTAATACATTGCCTTTTAAATATCTTATAGATAGTCATTTATCATAAAAAATATTTATAGAATATTTACTACTTAATAAATGTAAAAAAAAAAAATTTATAAATACTTTAGATAATATTTTTTTTATAGATAATATACTTATTATAACTCACGCACCTACTTGCATTTCACCTGTTAAAACTTTAAGATTTTGATTGCCTTAAAATTGAAAATTTTATTTTAGGTTGCATCTATAAATTGTTAAGGTCAAAATAATAAAATTGTGTTTTGTAAATTTGAAATTCATTTCAGTATGACATAATAAATACCAACATTCAAATTGAAAATATACCCTTTTTCTAATGAAGGTAATACAAATAAAAGTATCCAAAATTGTGTGAATGAGTATAAAAATAGTAAATAATTAATAGCCATACAGTTTATTCGTACCTTTTAAAATTTACTTATAATAAAAATAAAATTGTTGCCTGTTAGTACAACTATTAAATGCCAAAAAAATATTGATATTAAGTAAATTAATTCCTCTGTAAAATTCTTAAGATGAACAATAAGGACATAATTAATATTTATTTATTTTTTTTAAATAAAAATTACCAATTAGAAAAATGTATTTGAATGGCTATTGAATAATATAGTTGTACAATTAGTTAGTAGAAGCTATTAAATATTTTAATTGTAAGAATTTATATTTTTATCTTAAATAATAATTAATAATAGTAACTTTTAATTTTTAAATACATTATAGATTAGATTAAAAACGAGAACTATCATGTAATTGCAGTAATTACATATTTCTGGTAATTTTTGTTCTAAAAAAGTATTTTGTTTACAGATGATACAGTTTTTGTGAGTGGTGCTGCTACTACACCAATTGAAATTCTCCGTAGTATGACTGATCATGGAAAACAAAAGCAATTAAAAAATATACGTGTATGTAGCATTCATACTGAATTTGAGTCACCTTATTCATCCCCAGAATGTGAAGGTGTGCAAGTTATACAATTTTACAACCAAAAAATATTTCAAAAATTTTCATTTTTTAGGAATATTTCGACCAATGGCTTTTTTTATTAGTTCCAATATGAGGAAGTGTATAAATGAAGGTCGTGGTGATGCTGTACCAATATTTTTACATGATATACCTTACGTATTTGAACGAAATGTTATACCAGTAGATGTATCAATTATTTCGGTAAGAAAATTTGATTAATTTTTATTCAAAGGCCATAGTGCTGTTGGTTGTTCATTTTGACCTAAACCATTCATCATTTAAATATAACCTTAATAAGCTATACAAATAGTAAAATTTGTCACAGTTAGTTAAAGTTATTATTTGTATAGCTAAGGAAAATAACTTTATTTTGTATTTGGAATTTAAAACCATAATCTGTTTATATTTATTTAATAATTATTATATTTTAATTTTAGTATAACTTAATATACTACGTTGTATGAAAATTATTTTTCCACATGTGGTGGTTAAAGTAAATATTATTTATATTTACATAACTTATCTTGATTTATTTGAAAGTGATTTTTGGTTTTAATATTTTATTATTTTTATAAATAGTTTTTGTTTTGAATACTCTAAACATTTAAAAAAAAATCCATCTTTCTACTTTTTTATAACCAATATTATTTATTAAAAATAAATAAACAGATTATTCTACTATTTACTATAGAGTTATATAAGATTCTTATTAACTATAATATTAATTATTAAATAATTTGATTATTAATGGTTAGGTTAGAAAAGTTATCTAACTTAATAAAAAAAAGATGAACAATGTATTGGAGGTGAGGTAAAATAAAAATAATAACTGATAGCGTGATAAAGTATTTAGTCTATAGTAACTTATCTAATTAATTTTACTATTAAGATAGACTATTATATATATTCAGATATTTTATTTATTTAATGTGAGAAAGTTTTTATAATTAAACATTGGACCTACCAATATTGATAAATATTGTTTTGATTAAAAACTTAACTTAAACAAAAGTATTTATATATTAATAGTCAATTTATTAAAATAAATAATATGCATATTTTTATTAAATTCAAATCAATATTTTTATAGCTTAATAATAAGTGTTAAGTATTTACCTTTGAACACTTGATGATTTTAAACTAAATTTTATTATTACACTAGCAGTTAAATGAGTAATTAAATGTATATACGTATTTGTTTGAAACATGAACCCTTTACTTTATACAGTAATACAGTATACTAAGTATTATTTTTAACTCCCTCATTTAAATTAAGAGGATGTTACAATGAAATAGTCTGCTGTTTTACAATAATATAGTATAATAAAATAATTATTAAAAAAATATTATCTATTTTACCAGAAACATTTTTAATTTTATTATTTTTATTGTTAATTCTATAAATATAAAATAGCTTTTATATAATTATAAATAATATTAATGTTATTTTTAATTATTTAAATGATAGGTTTTACATTTTTAATTATAACCATGTCATTACAACCTGTAAAGTTTAGAAAGTGTTTTATTTTTCAATGTTTACTCTATGTGTATATAACTCATTATTCCACCTTATCAATAATTATTTGTTGATATATATCTTGTTTGATATAGGCAGTGAAAAACAATGATTGTAAGTTAGAATGTACAATTTTATTAATATACATCAGACATTAGTATTTCTTTTTTAAATGTCAAGTCAATAAAACATAAAATTTTTTTTTATATTTTCTCTTTTATGTGAAGCAAAACTGGATTTGTGTAGTACTTGTATTATATAGATGAGCTTAAAAATAATAATAATTGTAAAGTTTCTCTTTTTGTACACAGTTTATTTATTGTAAATTAACATAAAAATTGATAGATTTAAACATTCAATAATTAATTCTATAATATATTTTGTTAGTTAAGTAGTATGTTATAGATTAAATCAACAATTTATTTTAGTTCCATAAAGTAGCAGATGTAAATTTGTTGAGATATTTATAATATTATATAGGTAACAGTTTTATTTTTAATTTTAATAGTTATATTATTATGTTGGTTGATTGTTCAATAAAAAAATTAAAATACATTTTAATAACTATATGTTTATTGTTGAACTTTTTTAATGCAACAGTTTAATATATTTATTTATTTCAGGTATCACCCCCTGATCATCATGGTTTCTGCAGTCTTGGTACAAGTGTGGATTGCATTCGTTCAGCTTTAGGGAAATCAAAAATAATTATTGGTAAGTCAAATATTGATTTAACATTTTAATATCAATATTTCTAATGTATATATATATTTTTTTAATTTAGCACAAGTAAATAATTGTATTCCACGCACTTTTGGTGAAGCCATCATCCATCAATCACATATTGATTATGCTGTCAGATGTGATCGTGATTTACCAGCTCATGAACATAAAGATCCAAATCCTACTGAAACAGCAATTGGCAAACATATTGCAGATAATCTTGTTGAAGATGGTGCCACATTACAAATGGGTATTGGTGCAATTCCAGATGCCACGCTTACCTGTCTTAAAGGTCATAAGGATTTAGGAATCCATTCAGAAATGTTCAGTCTTGGTGTTATTGATCTAGTAAAGTCAGGGGTTATCACCAATCATAATAAAACATTTGACAAAGGATTGATAGTAACAAGTTTCTTAATGGGCAACAAGAAGTTGTATGATTTTGTTGACAACAATCCATTAATATGTAATACATTTTTTAATTGATTAATTTATAAAAATGTGTATATTTATTTTTATAAATATTTTATAGGTATGAGGCAAGTTTCATATACCAATAATGTACATATTATATCTCAACAACCTAAAATGACTGCAATTAACTCTTGTATTGAAGTAGATTTAACTGGACAAATTGTGTCAGGATCTATTGGATATAGATTATACTCAGGTAAATAAAATGATAAGTTAGCTATGGTAAAATTAGCTAATAAATATTAATAAATATTTGTGAATTAAAATCTATTTCAGGATATGGTGGTCAAGTAGATTTCATTAGAGGAGCTGCTGAAGGTTTTGACGGTAAGGGTAAGCCTATTATTGCTCTAGGTTCTGTAAATCCAAAAACTAAGGATGCCAGAGGTTTGCCGAGTAGTAAAATTGTGCCTAAAATTCAAGAAGGTAAAATATTAGATGTGTACACATTAGATTTTAACATTGATGTCATGAAATTATTTTATAGGAGCCACGGTTGTTACTACTAGTGCACATGCCCATTATGTTGTAACCGAGTTTGGTGTCGCCTCATTATTTGGAAAGAGTTTGAGACAACGAGCTCATGCCTTGATAAATATAGCCCACCCTGACCATAGAGAATGGTTAGAAAAAGAAGCATTTAACCGTTTAAAAGTTATGCCAAGTGCATAATATGTATTTAACATTTCAATGTATTATTATTATTATTCGTTAAATTAATTATCATATTACCTGAATAATTCATCAATTATATTAATACATGATTTATTCTTATTTATTTTGCTTAACACCTATCATATCAAATGTGAATTGGTTGATAATACACTGTAATTCGTAATTGGTTTGTTTTTTAATTATTTTTGTACTAAAACACATTTGTTATTAAATCGTCAATATAATATTCATTTAAAAATCAATATTGTCCATAAATAAATGTATGAAATAAAAATTATTTTGTTAACATGATGTATATTTCTATTTAGTATGGAAATAGTATTGTGGATCTCAATAATGTTATTGAAAAAACCTAACATTGTATGATTTTGTCTATACAGATTATACCTAGTTTATTGCTATAATTAAAAAAATAAATTATTTTATTTTCATATTAACAAATAATTATAGATTTGTAATAAATGTATTTATTTATTATGTATAAACTATTAATTAAAATTGTAATGTTTATTATTGTATTTAAAATAGCATAATTGAAAAATATGAAAGATGTTGAGTATAACATATCTGTTGAAATAATTTATTCAGTGCTGGGAAAAAATTGATTACCAAATAATGGTTAAAGTTAATTAAGATAAAGACTAAAACTGATATATTTTGATAAATATTCATTCATTTTATTTATCATTACTAAAGATTTAAGGTAAGAATAAATATTTATATAAATTATGTTAAAAAATACAATTTATAAAGTGATAAAATGTTATTATTAGATTAAACTCTATTTAAAAGGAAATATTAGAAGATTTATCAAGAAATCGTTTGGCATATTGTAGTGAGTACATTATTAAAAAGAATACTATACAGTATGATATATTACTAGGTACTTATATCACAAACTTATAAGTTATAACAAATTACTATTTAGTACAGTACAATGTAAATTTTTAAATTTTCATGTGACCAAATTCGTATAAAAATTAAAAAAATAGTAGTTAAGTACTTAAGTATCAGTGCCTTATTTACTTAAATAACATTAAACTATTCTGTTAATGATAAATATTTGCCAAAATAATTTAAATATTTCAAAAAAAGGAAAAATAATGTTTTAATTAAAGATAAGTAACATACTAACATATAGGTCTGCAATTTTAAATGCATCTCTAAACTTTAAAGTTGATTTCAGTATACAATTATATTTTGTTTTTTATGATATATATATATTATATTCATGGTTGAAATAATTGTTAATTACTATATTGGTACCTATAATTGTGAATATTAAAACTAGGATTTATTATATAAATTTATTCAATAGGTATATCTTGTACACATTGGTGCAACCAGATCTAAAACATAAAGAGGGCTGAAGTTCTTTTATTAATTTAGGAAAATACGTGGCATGGGGGGACAAAGCCTCCTTTCGTTTACCATAAAATAATTACTTAAAATAAAAACAAGCATTACATGGATAGTAGTCCTGTATTATAACATACTATAGGTACCTATTCAAAAATATTTACATAAAATATGATATAAATTATAATTTACTGATTAAGATCTATTTTCTACTTTTAATATTAACTAAAAAAGTTTTAGTACAGTGTCATTGTTTATGACATTAATTAAATATTTTTTTATGCTTTATAATGTCAAATTTGTTTGTTGACCTAGTGACAATGCAATACAGTTGATGAACGTAATCAATTTTTTACTCTTCGCATAGCAGCGAACGATTTTTCCACAAGTAGGACTAATAATAAACTATATTTAAGAATTTATATGTACCTACATTTGGAAAGGTGTTAGAAGATACAATTTTTGCATTTTCAGAGGTATTTAGTATTTGATTATCAATTGAAAAATAAAAAAAAAATTTTATTATTCATTACCTATTCATTAATAATTAATAAGCTACTTTAGAATGCTGAATGGTTTATACTTCAATGAAAAGCTTTTAGAATAATCGAACATTAAAAATCTATTAACATTATTAGCTGAGTTTATACTTTATTTAGAAAATTCTTTTTAAAAATTAATTTTTATAGTGTCTTTTTTAATATAATACTTGTTATGATAGTATGTAGGTAATTTACATATAAATATATTAGCACAGAAAATCCTAGAACAAAACACATCGACCATTCGACCATATTTATTTATAGTTGCAATTAGGTACCTACATGGAGTTTAAAAATTGGTTGGTGATCATCGCTACATGTTCCTTGGCCCTTAATATTTATTAGATAAAACTGCTATTAATGTTATTACTTAAAAAAATTATAGTCTATAATAAATGTATTTTGAACAATTCTAAATCTGTACATGTTGCATATAATATATTTTACCATTAAATTACGATTAAATCTAAAATAACCATTTTGTAATCCATTATTCAATATTTTTTAGATTTTAAGAAAAAATATTGGGGGAGGGGGATAAAATACATTTTTGGATCTAAATTCCCCCTAAGTTTCCCCTAGTTGCGCCAATAATTGAACACATATAACTGAAATACAACTATTAGGTAAGTAGGTAATTATGATCTTATAGAAATAAAATTATTCATGTTTTATAGCAATTTTTAATGAAAATAAGCAGTGAAAATGTTAGATGCCATACCATATCATATTATGCTCTCAATTTAAATACTATACGTTTAGTAATAACTTCATCTTCGATGAAAAATGTACGGAAAATGATAAATTTAAAAGTAAGATTTATAAAAATGATTTAACTTCTATAAACAATACTGGCATTCAATTTATTTTAAAATTATAAGATTTTTTTGAATAGATTTTGCTTTATGATAGTTTGGTAAATTCGATGTATAGTTTCTTATATTTTTATTGCATATCTTATAAATTTATATTGCGTATAAATCCTAGCTCTTAACATTAGGTCAATATCAAAGTACCCATGGGCGTCCCCAGACATTTTTTTAGGGGGTCGGGCAAAATTAATTTAAAAAATAAATGAAGATTTTTTTATACATTTTATTCATAGTCCATTATTATGTTTTGTCATTATTGCATTAAATTATTACAATTAGGTAATAAATTTAAAATTCTAGGGGGTAGGGCAAATGCCCCGTCTGGCTTCCCCTGGAGACGCCCATGAAAGTATCACAGAACATTGTGAATAGTTTTAAATAGTTTAAAATTAATCACAATAATTTGAGAATTTAATTGTGTATAGTAATTACTAATTATTCAACAATAATAAATGAAGTAGTGAAAAGCTTCAAGTCCTTTCAAATTATATTTAATTAATCATAAACAAATATGTAAAATTGTTACTTTTCTTTAAATTTAAACATTATATGTCTAAAAAAATTGTGCATTGTATTTTTATTATTGTAACAACAACTTATGAAGATTTCGCTGAATCAATTAACAATTTGGCATGAGAGGTAAGAGTTCGGTAGTATAATAATGTTTTAAGTAAATATAATATTTACTAATTTAAGTTTTGATTTTACGATGTATTTTGTATAATATAATATAGCATACTGTTATAGGACCTATTACTTAAATAGGCATTAGGTACGGTTATAATTATATTAATGTACAATTGGTTAATAGGTATGACAATGGAACATTACAATTTATATTTTATTATAACCCAAATAAATGGTCTCCGTTTTATTAACACATACTACGTAAACAAGACATAAGTATATACTAAGTTTATAGTTTTACATTCCTTTATGTAATCCAATTTACTGTTGTTTTTAATAATAGAGTCAACTATCATTGAAAGGTATGGTTATCATCAAGTGTTTCGTGTAAGTTATTGACTATATTTTAATAGTATATAAAAACAAAAATTAACGTTGAAATTTTAATTTTAGGGGGGTCCGTGAGTTCCAGGGTTTTTATTTTATACATAGGGACCACAGAGTAACGACGAATCTTGATTATTTTCGTGTAAACATGCTGGTTTCCCACTCGATGTGATGAGTTATAGTTGCTTTCAAGTATCTTTATAATGCAAAGAGTGAAGATGAACCCTTGTAACTCATGCACACTTGCCTAGTTTCCCTTTTGTTTTTAATTTGAATATTTGTTTATGCATCAAACTTGCGTAATATCATTCATTACATGTATACGACCATACAGGACTATTAATAGTTATTACCTATATAAATATGTAGGTAATGATATTTTGATATTTTAATAATTTCTATAGCATATTTTTTTTTATATAATATTTTAAATATTTGTTATTTTTCAAGTGGATTTACAAACATTTTTAGTGGCGCAAACAAAGACGGCATCTCTATGAAAATGAGCGATAAATGCCATCTGGATTTACTATGGACATTTTAATATTTTATGGATGATTATTTTATTATGAGATCAAAATAACTATATACTATATATATTATAGAAATGAAATTAATTAAAATATTTTTTTATTATTGTATATTTAATAAGTAGTGGATGTTTCATAAATTTTACAGAAAATGAGTGTACACTTTGTACCAATACTTACACATTTTAACATCTGTATGATGCCCATGTTATATAATAACCAGCTGGAAAATCGTGGAGGACTGGAGATTGGAGAATATTATATATTAATACTTATAATCGTATAAAAATGTGTTAGATATAAGAAGGGTATCGACCAGTTGCCAGTTGCTCTTGGTGGTTGTTTTCGATACTTAAACATTGTGCTAGTTACCCTGAACCGAATGTAACAATTACCCTCAACGTAAAACGCATCTGGTACTTAGAAAGAGACGAATTTTACCTGTATGCATACCTATAATAGTGAAATCAGACGTAAGCATTTTTATACATTTAAATTTTTTCTTCAACAAATTACAATGTATGCCACTTATTTCTATTAAAAATATTGTGTTTATTCTTTTATTATATGTTTTATTTTATTTTAACTATTTAATATTAATATGATAAGTATGTTCACAGCGTTGTATACTGCCACTTCATACTTGGATCTACACGCTAGACGTAGTATTGTTTAACCTTGCGATAAAATCATATTAATACTTTACCATAGAAAAAGGGTAGTTATCGTTTGAAGAAAAAAGAAATGTCTAATTATTTGAAAATATTGTCTTCATAGATTATTTATTGAATATTTTTATCTTTATGTATACTAGTATACCTATTTAAAAATTTCAAAAAATAAATTG